GCCCGGTGCTGGTGTACATGGTGAGTGACTGGGATTGCGTGAGGAGGGCGAGAATGGGACTCGGACGGGTGAGGGCAATATCGGAGCCGCACAGGCACTTCCAGATGATGCGCTTGAAGGCGAAGCGGAAGTCTTTGGAGAACAGGGCATATATCACGGGGTTGATGGCGGAGTTGCAGTAGCCGAGCCAGAACATCACGGAGAACAAGAGTGGGTGGATGCAGTCAGGACAGAAGGCGCGCGTGAGGTAGATGGTGAAGAAGGGGAGCCAGCAGAAGATGAATCCGCCCACAATGATGGCCAGCGTCTTGGCGGCCTTCGTTTCCATGCGGAAGCGCTTCACTTGCGCCTTGCTGGTGCGCTTCGAGTTCTTGGGCTGCGTGTGATTGCTGCCCTCCTCGGGAATGTCCAGATACCGTCTGGCCGCTGGGATGCCGCGATTCGGGGCCTCGTCGAAGCGAAAGCATGTGTCCTCGCCAGAGCCGGCGAGATTGTCCACGGACGGGTAGGAGACGGATATTTTGACTTTGGCATGACTCTTGCGGGGCTTCTCTGCGTGGCGCTCCGACGCCGAGGTGCCGGCTCGCCGGCGGGGTCGCACTGGGAAGCGCTCCTGTCCAGTGGGCGTCGTGACGCCGTGCCCACTGCCCAGACAGTGGGGGGACGATGGGGGCGCCGTGGCTCGACCACGGTGAATCCTCAGCGTTAGTGGAGTGTCCTCCTTAGGTCCCGCCTTGGTGCCTGCAACACACACAGGATATTTCGGGTCATTCTATCAGTTGGTCGGGCCTCCTTGAGGTTGTGTTTGAGGTAAATGAGGGGAGAGATGTTTAAATCAACTGCAAAGATTCGCTAAAATTCATCCACATAACTTTGCTCAGTATTTACATGTACAATTTTCGCTCGTGTGCCCAGAATTCACTGGTGGAAGGGGGGTGTCACAGAACTCAAGATATGTATATTCACTTCTGTACAAGATACAATCCTTTATCTTCTTCACAAGTACTTTTGTGTTGTTTTAGGATCTCGTTCATCGACAAAAAGTAAATTTTCCTAAAAACGCACAAAAAGGGATTCGACTAATTTCACAAAAATACGTTTAAACTTCAAATAAACAATCACAAGAAATGCTCGCTCGTCTCTCTTTACTTCTCTTAGTCGCCACGCTAGAACGTTTAATAAATACAGTTGTATTTACAAATGCTCCACTCTTCGTACTCCATTTGGCTAAAAAGTTTAAGTTATCTATGAAAATAAATATACAATTTTGCAAACTTCTGTGAGGAAAATACACTTTATAATAACATGCATCAACTAATATAAATTAAATGTACATTGCTCCAGATGAAATATTTTTTTTATTCTCATTTAAATTACCCCCAAGAAATTGTTGCTGCCAGACAACTTTTTCTCACCCTCGCAGATGAGAATCACACCATGGAAATGTCTATTTTCCAATTTAGGCGTAATTTTTTTTCGCTACAGAAAATTTGCATTTTTTTTCCTTCCCTCGTAATCTTTCTTACTATTTTCCCTCAGTTTTTCTTGAAGTGCTCATATTTCCGACACTTTTTCATTTCGCTCTTTTGCCTGTATTTTTCCTCTTATTCCTTCCATGGAGTGAATATTTCAAAAGGGTTTTCAATTTTAACATTGAGGTAGAAGACATAAATCAGTTGAACAATCAAAATGTTAGGCTTTTTTCTAAAGTTTATTTTACCAACGGAAAATTCGATTATCTGCACTGATTTACTGAAATTTGATAGAAAAGCTGGAAATTTCAAGTTTTTAGAGTCTATATTTTGCTTCACAATTGCTACAATTTCACACATAATTCACAAATATGTTTCAGACACACGGAAAAGTGCCTTGAAATTATGCTTCCTCCAATATGAATACTACATTGCTTTTTTCCCCAAATGAAGAACCCCTCGAAGACAGCAAAGGAGCAGATGTGACTGCCAACATTTTGTGTAAGAGTGTGTGTTTGTATTGAAGAAAAAGTGACAACCAAATCTTCATCTCAGATTACACGCAAATTTCTCTCCATCGCCCCCGAAGCCCATCCCCAGCGGACTGCTACTTGAGAAGGGAGGAAGGATATTCTTCAACATTTTTTTTCGGTGACACTCAACCGGAGGATTTTCCTGGCAACCGTAGACCCGAGAGGGCGGGGATGCCTATAAATATTGTGGTGAATTGCTGTACACCCTTCGCCAGACTCAATGTCGCAATCCACTTGCTCGGAGGGATTCAGTGTGGCGTCACGATAAGATACTTATCGCAATTTCTGCATGCTTGTTTAACTAGATTGAGCGATGCGATGATGACGGGGTTCTGTCGCGGGGGTGACATCATTGTGGATTTGGGTGGTACAAATTCCCTGAATCGGATTTATTTATAGGTCAAATGGGGCCGATGGCATCACTCAATCTCACACCACAAGGATCTATTTCTCCTGTGCGAGAAAAATTGAACATCCATCGAGTGGGTCGATTCGTCTCTCTCTTTCCTTGATATTCAAAAGTCATTCAGCGGAAGACCTAAAAGTGAATAAATTCACTAAGAGTCTCAATGAAGTGTATTTTGTAACGAAATTTGACTCAGTGTTGTTGAGAATTAACGTCATATAGCAGTTATACAACAAATCTGGGATGAGCATCCTCGCCTCTTGCTTTTCTTACGCAGACATTTTCGTTAAAACTTTCTCCGCGCGGAAAATTATACATTCCACTGGAAACATTTCTATAGGGCAATGTTTGAAGAAAGTTGGTAGGTATTATGTACCTTGTTGTAAAAAGTGAGATTTTAAACAGCCCCATCACTTTCGCAGAGAATGAAGAGGCGTCAAATGCGAGGTGTTTTTGTGAAATGTACAAATTTAATGTTTGACCTTTTTCTGTACTCTACAAACAGTTCTCTTGAGGTATTTAAATTCATTATATGGTTAGATCTCATAGCAAATGGCACAACTTGAGTGAAAGAGAGCTTTAAATTATAGTGTGTGAACCATCCATATAAATAATAATTCGAGTATGCTGTACCTTAATATCCTATTTACTTTTATCCATTTAGTTCACCAAACAGCATTTACTCTTTTGTGATAAGTGCATTTCAATTTAAGTCAATTTCCCTTCATTAAAAGTGACGCAATGGCAATTTACTACAGCAATCAACCGGAATAAAAGTCACTCATCAGCAGATTCTTCCTCCGCGTCCTGTTCCACCCACGTCCAGGTGAGTCTACATGATGGGAATTAGGTGAATCGCTTTGTCACCGCTATTTTAACCGACTGGTCGTTTGTTTTGCCCTCTTTCGCTGTGTTTTATCTCTGCCTCGTTCCCATAGCGCATTTTGCACGTGCGAGAGTTAATTTTAAATCCAAACAATCATATCACTCAATGTTTGCACGGCGAAAAGGATGAGAGGTCACTGTGTTGAATAGTTAATGAAAAACCAAAAGACTCGCTCCTTCAGTAAACACCTGTAATTGCCATTTATTTGCTGCCTAATAAATTTCACAATGTGCAATTTCATATTTGAAGCTTTATATTAAATATTTAACCAGAATTCTGGCAATGTGTGTCAAATTCAACATGTTTGCGTTGCACTCAAAAGTGATTCACTTCCAAATTTCAACTCATATTTGACTTGCTGGTATAATAGTCATTTCATATATTTTCACAATATGACTCTGTCGAGCTCTTGTGTTGCTAACTTTTGCACGCTAATATCAAATTCACTATTCTAGTGAGAGGAACTTTTCTTAGACTATGTGTATTTTTTAACGAATGAAAAATACCTTGGCTACTTTAGTCTTCAAAACTTATTTTCTGCCACAAAATAACCACACATGTTCAGATTCAACTCATGTATATTGTGAAAGTTAAGACATGATTCTCATAGAAATATAAGGCATCAAATTGAAATCTCAAGTCTCAGCTAATCCAAATGTTCTTCCATATCTGCTCTACTCAAAGTGAAAAGCTTTGATGATCCAACGTTCTTTTCAAAAGCATTTCCATACCGCTCAATTTTTACAAGAGACTTTTGACGTGAGGTAAAAGTAAACAGTTTATTCATCTCCTCTATGGCACATTTCATCCCTCAATGCACCCAAGAGTATTTTGATGAGCCATGAATGCACTCACTGTTTTACCAGAAAATAGCGAGAGAGCTTCCTTTTCCGCCACTAAAATAAGCTTTTCATCGTATCTACTCGTCATCCTCTTCTGTAATATTCCACTAGCATATTCAGGGTTTTTTTTCTGTCCTCTATATGCATTGGTTTTCACTGAGTATTTAAATTGCGCAAAGAAACTTCTTGCTTGGGTCAAAATGGCATTGAAATATTTAAGAACAAGATGTATGCAAATTGTGCACCTAAAAGATGATTATAACACTTCCGTCTTCACTAAATCCAATTAAATGTTGTTCAACAAACTATGATGCGAAGAGTAAAGAAAACTAAACGCTTCATTTAAAAGTTCTCTAATTATATTTCAGGGAGTATTCTCATATATGTATGTAGGTTTGTAATGTCGAAATATGTACAATTGATAAGAAATTCTACTAATGCATTCTTCATCGTTTCCAGACTCAGAGACTACATTATTCTATTGAATTAATGCTTATGGAGTTACTAAGAATGCTCTACACATGGTTGTGTATTGATGTCAACCGGGATGTTTGAAATTCTTTTACATAACTTTCTCCTAAAAGTCAACAACTACCAACCTACAAATTCCTCTGTATTCAAATTTCTCGACTGCATCCAAAGGGGCACAAGATGGACTTTTCTATATAGTATGCCATTGACAGAGAAGGAATTTTTATAGGTGAAGTGTATGATGACAAAAATGGATGTTTTGCCAGTGATAGTGGGAGGATTTTGGTGTGATAGTATTACATTGTGCTCTTGACAGAAGTTTCAGAATGTGAGAGAGTCTGTGCGTGTTGGCCGGATTTGCAAAGGAGGGTAAAGACAAGAGAGACTTACCCTTGGTTGTCTTGAAGCCCTGATTGATGGCGCGGGTGGTTCGCACGGCGGCACGGTAGATGCGCCAGTAGAAGAAGAGCATCACGAGCATGGGAATGTAGAAGGAGCCCAGAGCTGAGTACACCACATAGCCGGCGTCATTTGTCAGCTCACACGTCCACGGACACGGGGGCGGAGGCTCCGGGGGTGGCGTCACGGAGATCAGGGTGTAGTTTCCCACCCGATAGGTGAGATCTGCAGGAAGCTGTCACGAGAAAAGGATACCATGTACTCAATTAGGTGAGCCATTCCCTCGCACACAGAGTGAGAGAGCACAAAGCATGAGAAGTACCACATGTGACGTCACCAGTGGAGGAGACTAAGCAATTTGTAGTCGAGTTACTGATTTGCCCAGATTTCCCAAGAACTTTCCATGGTTCACCAATGCCAAGTGGTACGGAAGTTTAACATTTTGCATGTAACGTAATATGCAAATGTGAAATCTCGTGTTGGAATAAAATGTATTTCAGGAGACTTTTATGCAATCCGATAAAGTTGGAAGAACCTACTTGTAAATCTATTGCAAAGCTGGTTAAGTCAAATATGAGGTATGTTCATATATCAACATATGTGTATGTGCAAGTTCAGAGTTTCTGTGTCGTCCTATAACCTTGCACAACAGATTCTCTCGTTTCGTCGACGCAGACCTTCAAATTGAATTCACGGTAAGAATATTTGAATGTTGTTCTCCTTTTGAACTGTAATCCGTATCAAAATATGTCTATATTCTCTGTGAGAAGATTAAATTTAACGTTTTTTCTTTCGGTACACGCCCGGAGAATTTCCGCGTAAAACCCATCGTAAATGTCCGAGATGCGGGGATAAGAGGAAAAGCCCATGGTATAGAGACAATAAAACCGCACCAGGAGTGAGGCAGGAGAGAAGGTGGAAAATGGTGGCAGAAGTAAATGGATGAAGAGATGTACATAAAAGAGACGACCACCAATATTCTCCAGCCACAGCACAATATTTTGTATTCGTCATGTGTTGCCATGGCGGACCTATTCTCGACACGCGCCCTCTCAGAGAGCTTTTCAGATCATCCACGGACACTTGGAGGGGAAGTTGTGTTGATCGGAAATGAGGTTTAGTGTACTGTAAATTACATATCATGAATACATGAATTCATTTACCCAGAAGATGAAAAGCACCTCTGAATTTAGCTCTAGTCGCGTGCAGAATAGCAAATACCATCGCAATCGTCAACTTTCAGTGCGAAAAAGTGATGGGAATTTAATATTTTACGTATGAGGAACAAGTGCCCGCGCGTGATCCTCTTATCGCGCCACGTAAAGTGCATTTTCCATGTCATTCAATCTCATCATTTAATATATTCACTACGCAAAGATGTTATTCAGAGAATCTGACGTATATTATTGACTAAAAGCAGATAACAACTTTGACAGAAATTCTTCCTAAAAGAACTAAATTGCATGAAATGCTTTTCCTCGCACGAGACAATTTTCTATCTAAACGGAAAAAAGAGTCAACATAGAATGCATGTACGTAGAAGGATTGCAAATAAAATCACGAATTCAATAAAATTGGCGTGAATAGTAAATGTAACGTCAGTGTTGTGAAAAGCTCGTAAGGAATTTTCTGAGTCTGGTTGGGAGAGACAGAAGGTGAAAAAGGGGACAAAAGTAGCGGAACACATTGTTGAAATAAATTGTGCGGAAGAAGATTGCTTTCTTATTGTGTTTGAACACCAAATTCATTTCAATTCAATCGTGGCGCATTTCAAACTATTCACAAAAATGTTAGCTTCTCTATCCACCCTCAGCAACACCTAATATACGATATTCATTCACCCCGTCATCCCTCAGCTTCTCACCTAAATAGGCAACGTGTGAATGTGAGAAAGGTTTGGCATTTGATGGTTTGATATTGATAGCGGATCATATTTACCACATACTGTGTGTGTATGTGAAAAAGTTGAGCGATTTTTTTCAAGCCGACCACAGCTTAAAGGCTTATTGGATGAATTTCGCCCAGGATAGAGTGTATTACGCATTGATATTTATGGGATTGGATAAAGTGAATTATCAGTGTGAGTGTGAGTACATTTGCGGATAAAGAGAGGAAAGTCAATAATTCCTGTGCAGAGCTTGAACATGAACAGTCTTAAAATAGAGCGGAAATCTGAATATCGAAACTGTAAGGACATGAACTATTAAAGTTAATTACAACTTCGCTGGAGAATAATTCCCATATCTCATTTATGTCATTGGCGTATTTCTAGCGATTGAAATGCGTGAGCGAATGTATGTAGCTTTGCTTTGTGATATGAAAGATAGAATCTGAAATGATTAATTAACTTTGCAGGACACTAATGGCATGAGACGGGAAATTGTACAGAAAACGAGTGTGATGATGTGTTAATTAAAATGCAGAGAATCTGGGAAGTTCTTTGATGTGAATCACTAAAGTATATCGAATTGATGAGCGGCTAAAGTAGTAGAAACAGTTTTCTGAGAAGCTCATAATAATCCGCTTTTAATCAAGTGATGTATAATTTTGAAATACATCTTAATTTAGAAGGATTTTCTAGGAAATCTAGAGGGAGTCTTCGATTTTTTATTTCAAACTTATCCTCGAGCATTATGGAGTGGTGTTTCAAAAAGTTTTATTTATGATATTGTGGGAATCTAAAAATAAAGTTTATCTTGTTTATAGTGTTGGTTTTCTCTCACCCTCATTCTATGTGGCATTGTGCTGTAGAATTACAACAAGAATGCTATATTTGTACAGTACATAAAACATCTACATTCCGAGAAATAAAACAGTGTTGTCATTTCATTAAAACAGGTTAGAAAGGTGAAGCCATAATCAATTTTTTGGAAATTCGCAGACTTTGTGAAAAAGAGAACATCTGCAGAGATTTTTGATCTATAGTTTTGTAGTATTTCCAAGTGGTGTGGAATATGCAAAAATGGAAGTTACGAAAGAAAACTTTACACCATTGGAATTCCATGCTCTACTGCACTATGTTATGTTTACAGTCACAACACTGCCTCTTCTATTCTCCGTGGAAGTTCGCGCAAAGTGTACCATTTTGGCGTTCTCGCGAGTGGAAACAAAAACAATTCCCAGAGAGTTCTGACACGATTCTCCGTTTCATTAAAAAGCATCCCTGAACTTACGTAACAAATTCCACTCACTTTTCCAGCCCCGCCCCGCTCATGGGAGGATGGCCGAGAGTGTGCTGAGAAATGGGGAAAATTTTATAAAATTAATGAATCGTATCTGGGTGTGCAACCGTTTATCCATTTGAAGGGGATTTCGAACTTTTAATTAAAACTGATCACATACCCTCCGCAACACTTTAAAAGTTATACTTTCTCACATTCTCCATCCCTGGGCAGCAATTTCGCTACTTATGTCGTGGCTTTCATGTTGACTCCGCCAAACACTCACAGCCTTCGCCACCCATGCTGGAGGTCTAGCAGCATCGCCAATGGGGAGTGTTTGCTCATGGATGCCGCTCAAGCCAAACCACTTTTCATGGTGAATCAAGATCAGCTCCCCGTTTGGGGGCTGGCTTTTGCCTTTGTTGCATGAAATTTGATCTTTTGCGGTGGAACGGCGATGGGTGATATTTTTGTGGGGTAAACCGGAAATTATGCGCGTCACCCGTAAGTGCTTTTTCATCAACTTTTATTTCTTCTCCCTCGGCTTAGTCTTCGTCCACCCACGATGTGTCAAATGCTGAGGGATACTCGCCACGTGCTCTGGGGTTGTACTCCAAGAGACACACAATATATTATTATTTATTACCTTCTGATCCTTCCAGCCGACTAGCGGTGGGAAGCAGATGACGAATGACAACACCCAGATGCCGGCGATGAGGGACTTGGCTTTCGTCGTGGACATGATGCTGGGATAAGTGACGGGACGCGTCACGGCCACATATCGATCCAGGGAGATGGCACACAGGTTGAGGATGGACGCGGTGCACATCCATACATCCACGGCCAGCCAAATGCGACACCACAAATCACCGAAAATCCACACCTGAAAAAAACATCAGTGGAAATTTAAAAGCCTGATGCATCCTTGCACTTGATTGATGGTGCATCACTTCTCAAATTGCTTGAGTCAGTTAAAATTTTAAATAAACAAATACCGATAAATTTCAATTTAAGTGAATGTGTAATTTAATTCTTTATGGATGAAGTGATTCAAATGTGAATAAATTTAGACAATTTCTATACTCGTTACCATTCTATTGTCAGACAATTTCTCATCTTTTCATGATTGTATAGAACAGAAATATCTCTAAATTCACTATCGATTTTCTTTGCTCTTGGATTGTAAATATGTGTATACATATTTCAAGAACTCTATTTTTACTTCATGTACGGAAATCTAATCGCATTCTCGCATCGACAAAATATAAAGGAAATATTCAACTTATCGCAGAAAAATTGTAATATCTGCTCCTCTTTATGCATATAATATTCTGCTTTTCCAAAACATAAATTTATTCACTCCTTTTCAGAATCATCCCTCTTGAATTTCTCAGAAAAGTTCACTTGACTACCAAGCAGAAGAGCATTTTGACTGATTTTTCAGCTGCCTGAAGGAAAAACTATAAAATGCTAATCCGTAAATAAACCATCTTCCCAATAACAAAACGCGAAGGAAGTCGTTGATCTTGCGGAAATGCGACCACCGTCGCGATGCTTCGCCAATTTGGCAGACGCTCAGGGTGAGGGTGGAAGATGGCGAGCGATTATGGTTTATTGACCTATATCGCATATAAATATCCTCGTTTTCCTCCCCAATCACACCATTAACCATCGTCATAACACTAAAGTGCCACGGAAAAGGGTCTCACGCGTCTCATAAGAGAATCGCGATCTAATTTGAAGATCCCTCGTACGAAATATTTACATTCACTGCTTTAACTTCTCAATTCAGTATATCCAGAAGTCTTTTTGCATCGCTTCATCTTCACTGCTGCATATCAATTCCGGTGAAAAATTGAAAAGAAGTTTGTACTTTATTGGATTTCGCGTGTCTTCAGATATTCTGCATGGACTGTAAGGAGAGAAAAAAAAGTTTACCAGGTGCGCGTGAGAGCCACTCAGTTGATTGTCAATCTGGTGTATCAAATATTTACTACTTCCCAATTTTTATGGCGGCCCCCAAAGCCATTCCCCGGAAAAATCATCCATCGATTGAGCTTGAAGCTCTTCACATCTTTCCCTCTTCTCTGTAAATCTTTGGTCTGATAAATAAATGTTTACGGCTGTAAGTTGATACATACAATGAAGAGAAATAGTGCTTTTTCTGCTCCTTTTTGCCCATTCACCCAAGCACAGCTCCATCAAAAGGGCGAACAGTTATTTGTATTTCACGTTATTTGTCTAAATTTTTATTTATTCCACGAAAATCCGTTGGGACACGACATAAAATTTTACTGTTTCCCAAATATGTAGCCATAAATGGTGTTTTTATGGAATTGAAGGAATTGAGAGATTTTTCTCTCCAAATTTGAATGAATTTCATGTGATATTCAGGTAAATCCCCTATAACACTGAGTGCCTATTCTGGGAAGGGCTGAGAGTGAATCATTGCTGATATAACCGTGTCAGTCGTTTTACGACTTTTCCATCAATTGATACAAAATTCCAAAGCAATACCGCATTGTTAAAGTCATCGGATAATTCGCCACAAAAGATCCTTGGGGAATTTATCTGTGTTGGATACTGCAACAAGACAATTTTCACCCGATAAAATTCAATCTGCCCGAGATTCGCCTTGTTATGGCCCAAATACTCCACCCCTTGGCAGCTGAGACCAATCCAGGCGAAATAGACAACTCAAGTAGATGGTATTAAGTTGACGGTAAATATACAGAACGTTTTCTTCCAGATAAAATCCCCCATCACGGCTCTCTTCGATGGCCCATTTAATGCCTCCGCACTTTATCCGTTCGATCGGTTAATTACATTGAAAAGGTGGATCCCGTGAAATGTTATTATCTGGTTTTCTGGCACTTTTCTCATCCCCGCCCCCACCACTCACCTTTCGCCGTCTCTCACTTGTTCTTTCCATTTCACACCTTTCGAAAGTTTCACCTACTTTTTCTGGAGAATTCGTTCCAGACCATAATTCTATGCTTTCTGGAGATTCTCAAAAAAGTTAGGAAGCATAAAGTGTAGACTACGAGGTAATCAGATAAATCTTTATGCTACCTCAATTGTTCAATGTGAAATTGGTGAAAATTTAGATTTTAAAGACACCTTGGCTGATGGTATTATAAATTCTGGAGTGTTGAATAAAATTGATCTCGCTGAAATCCCGCAAACGTGTAATGATTATCTGTAATTACATCATGACTTGAATGAAAGTTTATCTAATGAGTTTCTTAGTAATTAAAGTTACAAGGTATCTATTTTGTTAATTTATCCGGAAGAAATTCAATTCGTAACACCTTCATTTCTGCAGTGAAACTCTACAATTTCAAGACTACTGACTAATGTGTGAGCTCCAACGTAAAGGTACGTAAAACTTAAGCAATTCTATCTTTGGTAAAAGTTTTTTCCATGAACTTTTGTGAAGAATTTATATGTATTAACATTTAATAGAACGTCCAAGAAAAAGTTGCGCACATTCACACAACAAACCCATTAATTTCTGATGCTCCAACCCTTTTTGTACTTCTTAGAGATTTTCTGTGAGTGAAAATACACTCGAGCGAGTGAAAATCAGGCAAAAATCCAGTGTGGTAAAGGATTGGTCAAACATTTCATGTGTTCAAAGGGCAAAAGTGGCCACAAAGCAACGTAGTATAAATTCATTAGGGTTTTGAGGTAGATATTTGCATATAATTGTTACGTGATTACTTAAATCCCAATAGAACAGGCATAATAAGGGAGTTGAACAATTTTATGACTTGTCTTGGATTAGGAGAGCTTTAAGTGAATTTTGCTTAGTGATTTGCTTTAGCCAGAACATTTCTAAGACACACAGAGAAGTTCCACGGGAAGTATCAATGCACACACTATGATGTCTGTAGGGAGGGCTAAAGCGTGTCACTCTCAAGTTGGAATGGGATGAGTTTATGGGAAAATGCTGACGATGTCACACTCCATAGAATAAATCCGTCACAATTGTGTGTATGTGTGTGGCTCACAGTGAGTTTCTGAGCTGGGAAAGTTTTGGGCAACTGCAAAACACACCACTTCACCCACCATTGATGCCAAACCCAAAATTTAGTTTGTGCTAATCATGAAGCTTTTGTGTGAGATTAGATGATGCAGGGATTCACATGAGTACACTGAAATAGCAAATCTGTTGCCCGGAATTATTCGACAAATTGCCCATGGGTCTGTCTCTCGAAGAGCGCAGAGAAATTAATTAAATGTCAGTTGATTTATTTCAGTGCGGTCTGTTGAAATCATACAAGTACACAATAAAGGGTAATGCTGTCTTTGCATTAAACGTTTTTATCCCTTTCTGTGTATTTGCCTTGGTATTTGCTCTGTCTGTCAAACAGACCGGAAGTTGGTGATGTTTTCAGAATTTCACACAATTCGAGGATAATTACAATTGTATTATACTGGCGAGTGACGAAGAGAATAAAAAGGAATAAAAGCCAGAATGTCCTTTTAGAATCTGTACGTCTTAAGCAAAGCTGAACGAAAAAAAGCTTCTTTCTGGAGAAACTTCAGTTTAAATTTTACATGAATGATTTCATATTCGTTTCAACTTCTTTTTCAGCAAGAAATGTTAAAAATTGATAAGACAATATCAAAATAGACGACATTACTAGAAGATGATGTGCAAATTGAATCTTATATAAATACGCATATTACATATAAACATACATATGTATGCTAACAGGAGATGAGAATATGTCTGACATCTGAGTTGGAAAATGTTCAAGAGTTGTCGATGGAAAATTCAATTAAATTTAATATAGCCAAATTTATATTTCATCAACCAAGCCCTCGTTTTCCACGCAAAGGAACTTGTTGTAATTCCTCTCGTTTTCCCTGTCGCTTTTTTTTCATACCACTTTTTGCTGTTACACCCAGATTTTTTCTTCACAATGTTGCCTTAAAATACATGAAAGTATTTTTATTGTACATATTTAGCTAAAACCGCCCAAAAAGCCAGACCCTCATTCAATTAATTCACCGAGCGCGAAAATATGGCCTCAAAAAATTCGATAAATTTTAATTTGATTACGCGCATTGCAAATATGTACCTATTAATTTTTTGTTGAGGAATCACTCAAATTCACCAAATTGGAACATTCTGATTTCCAATAAAACAGTGATTTTAAAATAATGTTCACTCAATACTTCGTGTGCTTTTTTTCGACAAACATTTTTGGGTTCATTTGCTCAGCGCAATCATTTAAACAAGCGATTTTTTTTTCTCGAAAACGTAGTTCATGACAGATCAGCAAAGTGAATACGTAGAAAATCGATAATTGTCCCTCTTTGTGGACCATTCATCGCCAACTTTCCAACTTGTAGAAGGCGAACAAGACACTTGTTAACCGTCCCTAAATATTTAATTTGGCTTTCTACTATTTTATCTCTCGCACATTCTTCATCGACACGAGCAGCATGGGTAATATTTGCGATGACCAAGAAATTTAGTGCCTTCGAGACCGACCTTCTGGCTGTCGAGGGAAAAGGAAGAGTGTTGCCGAGCGGAGTCATTTATTCGCCCTATTTATCTTTTCGCCACAAAATGCGGTGATTATGTTTTATGGAGTTGTAGCTCAGGGAGCCCTCCGCCATTTACGGAGCCACCAAGGAAAGAAGGAGTGCTCGAGAAGAGACCCGAAAACAAGGCGGAAACTAATGGAAAATCGCTGTTAATAGCACATGGTCTGTTGCAAAAATAGGTGGGAAAATCATTAAGGATTGAAGATTGAATGTTGTGAACTTGAAAACACCAGGTGGGAGAGTCAAGGTGAGAACGAATATTTTTCGTCTGAAATTTTCTTATGACTGCGATATAATTGCTGAAAATCAGTGACTGAGACCAGCCTTGAAAGTTCTATAAAGATTACATTAGAAATGAGGGTGTGTATCTCTGTAAATAATCTTTCTTTTTGCGCTTTCAAAGAGAAAACTCCGCACTCACTCACTGTAAAGGCTTGTAATATTTAATCTTAATTAATCTTCATGTCGCCTACATTACTGTCTGGAAGAACGTTGAATAAGTTCACACTAGCAAGGTTTATCTTTTGACAAATGGGGATATTTCGATGATATCGCACTAATGAAATATGACAAGTAAGCTATAAATATGTAATAATCGTCAGATTCAATCAACATGTAATAAGTTAGAATCCTTAATATGCAATTTCTTCGCAAAGTTTTCTCATTTGTAGTTATTATATGAATTTCAGTGACATACGAGAAGTGCGATTCGCAGTCTGATATCTGAATTTATCGTGTACATTACATGATAAGAGTAACTTTTAATGAGCATTATATTATTAATAACTGCCTTGATAATTGCATAATAAGCAAAGTTGTTAATTAGCGAATAATCAATGAAAACTTTGGCTATTCAATATGTGATATTAAGTTTCTGATGAAAATGCAAGTATAGAATAATATCATCAAGTCAAAATTCAATAATTATTCGTAACTCTGATCAATATTTAGGAAAGGTAATTAAATTAAAAATTAGAATGATTCATGCCAACGAAATAATTGAAATTTGATTGACGGGAGAAGTCAGTGATTTTAATCATGTTAGTTTTAGCTTACGTAATTGTTAATTTAATACCTGTCATCACATATCGACTGTTAGGTGAAAAATTACTCATTCAGCCTTCTAATTCAACTCATTTTGGTTGATAATAATTTATTTGCAGACGGTTGCAAATAAACGGTTGCGCTTTTGCATAATCTGGGAAAATCGTTTCATTTTAAAACATTAAAATTGGATTAAGCATTTAATATAGTATTATTCCTGAAACATTGACTTCAATTTCATCAAATCAATGTCTCAAACGACATATTAATAAACTTTCTGATGAGCTTTTGCTCTGATCTTGACACACTTTAATTTAAGACATCATCTGCCTTGTCAACAACAATGCATCAAAATACATATGAAATTGAAGCCAAAATCTAATTAAAAACTGCTCTGCATTTCCAGAGTGCTCTAAATTTAAAGTGTTCCTTAGAATTTAATGCTTATTTAGTGTATAAATATATAGCATCGCTTAAAAAAATTAAGGTTTGAAATAAGACCTTTCTATATTAAAGATATATATATATTTTTTACAGAACAAGAGTGTCTCAAGAATAATGATTAAAACGTGCGACACCGAAATACTCAGTCCAATGATATTACGAAAAGAGTTAGGATTGATAAGGGAAAATAATGATGATTAATGCAGTGAGTAAATTATATAAAGTGACATTTATATTCATATTCTTCTCATAACTTTTATTTTTCGTGCTAAATATTGGGCGTTCCGTATCTGCGCCTGAGAGTCCTTCTCACAATGCGTGCACAATCAATCCAATTCTAATTGACATGAATAAAGTTTATTAGGGGAAGCCCGACAGAGCTGAGTAGTTTAATATTCCGTATAGAGTATCCTTGTCCTTTCATCACCAAAAATAGATTGCCCTTCATGAATGAGACCCGATGGTAGATAAATTGTCATTGGCTCACTATAAAATTCTGTGGTAACAGCCTCAAATCGACTCTTCCTTTCACTGCAATTTAATATCGAATAAATGACGATGGCGTTTAGTGTTCGCCATAAATTTATAAAACTCCCAACAATGACGTAAATTGAATATTGATTCCCTGCATGTGGAGTATATCTATTATTTCATGTACACCACGCCAATGGGAATCCCACAAGAGTATAATACCCCACAATGACCATATTGAGGGAGTTACTCTCCCGATGGCATGGGAATGATTTACTTTTTATAGCGACACGAATGTGCGGTGCTCAGGCACAATTGAGCAGAAGAATGTTGGTTTTTCCTCAGTGAGGTGAAATTGTCGGGTGAGATGTAATAGGCTTACCTTGAAAACTTCCCATGTGGCGGAGAACGGAAGAACGGCGAGTCCGACAAGCAGGTCCGCCACGGCGAGGCTCACAATGAAGAAATTCGTGACACTCCTGAGCTTATGGGAGCAGAAGACGGCGGCAATCACGAGGCAATTGCCCACAATCACGAGCACATTGATAACGGCAAGCACCGCCAGTGACACTAGATTTCCCGGTTCCGTCCACTCAACGGCTTCAATTAATTTTGAGCACTCTGTCTGGTTCATGGTGATACCAACACTGACCACTTTCCCACCTGTAGGTCACCTCTATCACTCCCTCCGACGTCTTCCACGTGGGAGTCTGTAATGGAAGAGAAAACCACTTATTTGGCTAAATTTAAAGACCGACGAGCTATTGCTCTTACGCATTGAATTATAAATTGTCATTTTCAGGCTCGAGGCATTGATTTATCAGTATGAATTAATACTGTGAAATTGAATTCGTTCTTCAGGAGATTATTTCTTCAGAAACAGCTCAGTTTGGCATCTGTGATTGACAATGCAGTTATCGGCTATTGTGAGATCAATTTTGGAAAACAAAGACAAGTTTGAGAAGATAATTTGCTACAAATTAATTCACCTGTGGTGATGAACCCTTGTCTTTATGCACGCATGCAAATGCAATTGTGCACTACAAGCCTTGATTTTCACGAAGCTTTCATGGGTTTTGCGTAGGAAGAGCATGAATGGTGGATTTAACAAATAATAGATCGACATACCTAGTCGTGATTGCGGTGATCCGAGCGGAAGAGTTCTCCTGCCCATTTTGAAGTTGATACTCGGTGCAACTGGGAAGTACCGGAAGCAGCCATGCAAGGATTCGAAATGCCAGATGTCAGTCACAGCTAAAAACTCACGCCCACACTCAGGCCCGTCTCACCGCAGAATGGACCGCAAATGGCACCATCATCCCCACATTTTTGGGGCTATACGCCCTCACACCCCCGGCGCCCGGCTCAACACCCACATCGGCGGCCAACGTGCGGCAACAATGATCTGGAAAGAGAGTGAAATCAGCAAAATTAATAGCACATTCTCCGGGGGCGAGGACGTTGACAAAACATAGATAGAAGCCCAACTACGTCACATTTACAAGAAGCGAGACGGAGTTCCAGGAACAAATTCATGGGGATTTGCCAGACACAGACGGGGAGAATTGCCTGGGAATATGTGACGCAATTCAGGCGCCTGATGTTTACATTCATATCTAAGAGAGTCGGAGCAGAGGCAATAATCCCAAGGAATTTATCAATTTACACATAGATCATTTAACATTTCATTTTGCGGTGTGTTTCACCCTCTAGGAAATCACAGTGCTCTCTAACCATGAGCTTTTAATTTTCACGCGCTTTCCCCACATCCATTCAATTTCTCATGCGAGACCCTCGCAGTGTCAAAATTCCGAATTAAATCCACACCAGAGGTGCTGTGGTAAATCACGAACTCAGAGCTCTGATGTCACTTAAGATCGATACCACATGGATTAATCATTGTGCTGCTAGAGGAAGCCGACAAACACGTCTGAGGTTGCGTCATTGACACTGAGACTTCATTCTAAGAACATTTGTCGTGTTCTCATTCACATTGCACTCAAATATTCAGCTAGGAGATAAATTTTAAAACGAAACACACGTGTACATAAATCCGGAATTTCTGAAGTGGAGTAAATTGAATCTCGATGTTAGATCACATTCTTTTCAACCACTTACACAGCTATAATTTTTTTTAGAGTTTTCTTTTAGGATGAAATTTTGCAGCAATATTTGAAATATGCACTGATACGGTTTCCAGGTATATTAAAAATTGTAAAAAATGTGTGCTTCAGAAAGCATCTCTTTGTCCCACATGAATCCCATAAAATACCACAGAAATGATGAAGTTTTCCAGTGTGTTTACCGAGCACTTCATTTTCCGCTTCTCTATTCCACATATTCCGCCATTGATGCAATCTTTCAAAGGGTTGTAATAAATTTGCAAGCGAGATTGGTATTCCGCCGGATAGAAGTTCCTGAATGCTGTTTATAAACCAAAATTCACAGCTTATGCATTGGATTTAAAGTCCAATTCTACAATTTAATGAAAGACATGTTTAATTTGTGCGAGAAATCATCCAGGCATCTGCCAAAGTTGCTTCCCGCAACTACCATATATCGTCTAATCAACCGTCTTTTGCTTCAGCAACACCTTTGGAAAGTCTCATAGTTTCCACTCAGTCGCACCTTTACTTCCGCTCCGCATCTCGAATCCACAGGGACTGCAAGTGCGGTGCACGGGGTTGCTGTAGTGTGTTGACAGTGCGAGGGTGTGAGCGTGTGTTATTCCGTATTATTTGTGGGCGGTTTCATGGGTGGTTTCGGGGTGTCCCACAATGTGGCTGTAACTCTCGCACGGGGGAGTAACTGGCATCTTCACGCAGTCCTCGTTGAGATAACTGGTGACAGGTTAATGGCTCACTGTGTGGCGCCCACGACAAGTAAAACGAGCAAAAAGTTCCGACTGCGCCAATTTATGGGTCTACTCCACCCCCACGGGAAATTGCCATATAGCGGGAATGTGTGGGTAAATAATATTTGTAAATAATTTTCAACATCATTTAGGATGAAATGGAATTTTCAACTCTACCACCTTGGCAAGTTTGTGAGACTCTTGACGTCAAGCTACAGCAATTTGGGGGATGTTCTGCTGATGATGACATTGATCTATCATGTTAGTCTGGTGAAGTTTCTCTCCTTGCCAAAATGTACTTACACATAATTGAATGTGATTAACACATTTAGTTTGCGATAAAGGGATTATCTTGCAAGCGGACCAAGTATTATAATGCAATTTTCGAGATTATTACTTGTGTTCTAGAATTATTTTCAACTGTTGATGAATACAAATGAAGCTGCAAAGTATATTATCATATACAATCCGAAAAAGTCGAAAATCAACTGTATATTATCATGCAAATTATGCTTCATAGAAATATTTTATACACAACATGAGTTCATTCACGCTCTGTTATTCCGGGAATTTTAGAACTAGTGGAACGGAAGAGAATAACAAGAATCTATGCGGATGCATTCTCGAGCTGAATTATTATTATTATGCTTTATATTCGTGTTATGAATTCCATTTGTAAAATACATATGTTTGTCTGACATCCTCTATTTGAAGGGGAAGGTAAACACCTCTTGGTAAACATCGAGATATTCCTGGAAGCCAAGTTATCGATGGTATCACAGTTCAGTACTTAAGGTATGCCGTGGAAAAATTCCATGATAGTGTGAGGCGTATGAGACCACTTGAGGGGATCGATCATGTGGAGAGGGAAAAAAAATTGAGAAAATTGTGTGAATGTTTGAATGAAATTCATCCCTGGGTCACCCATTGTGTGTGAACAAGGTTTTGATTAATAATTTATGAGGAAATCGTCAATATGTGTGGTTATACGTTGTGGAAGAACATAATTCCAAGGATGAGTAAAACATTTATTGCCTTATGATAAGAGCAGACCCAATGACAATGTCAATGGCGTCACCCTCGTGCTTTTCTCCTTCTATAAATTCTTTTTATAGGGTCGTGAGATATTTTTATAGCCCTCGAGAGACTATTTACAATCAATTCATTCCGCCAAGGAGCTAGAATTGAGTGTGAATTCGAAGAAATATTTCCGTTTTTTTGCGGCACGGAAAATTCCACCTATATATTGCCGCTCGCCATGTCCGTGTCCTTCGACTGAGCACTGTAGACAGGAAAATCAAAAACAACCCCAAATAACAATGTTATGCAAATAGAGTGGGTGAAAGAGAGGCTAACTTGGAGAATTCATTGCCATAATTCTCCCTTGGTGTTAAATTGTGGCGCAAAAAAGTTTTGAGTTTGCTTTTCTGTTTGTCTTTTTTTCATTTTATAATAAATCAGCATGAAGTAAATTTGCAAACATTGTTTAATTTAGGATTGTGGATTTTTTTTAACCTTATGTAAATACGCAATATAACACTGTTTCACACTTTTTTCACCCATTTCTGCTGTCTGCTTATTGCTGAAATCTACAATGACAAAATCTATTCGAAATTGAATATTCATTGCTGAGCATTATATGGTGTTATGTACATACGCACCTAAATAATTCTAATGGGAGCGAACCATGAGCAATTCGGTTGATTTGCTATATGGGAATTTGGCACAAATTGAAATCGAATCAGCGCAAGAAGCTTTTGAAAAAGCCCGTTTCTACGGTGAACGTTAAATTGGATGGAGGCGAGCGGGAAAATTTAAGGGTCATCGAACGCGGAGGCGCAATATGCCAATTAGAGCAGTTGAAAGCAAGCTCAATTGTTGCCGATGCGAAGGGACAAAAGGACACTGCTATCAGTTGTGACTGTCTACTGAAAACACACATAAATGTTGTCATTCTTAATCACCGGCTTATGAGAGCTTTCAAATGTAATTCAATAATTGAATGGCATAGCTTTGCAAAATCTATTGTGCGGCGCTCGTTTGGCTGGCACATATCATTTAGTGTGAGATTTAACTTTAGACAATTTATTCCCGACGCCACAATCACGTCAAGCGCATTACGGCCATGCAAAAATTGATTTCCTGCCCATCTTTACATGAATTTGCCATTCAATGTGTTGAAATATTTTAATTTTCATCACTCAATTCACTCAATGATTTATAGTGGAAGACCGAACACATGGCGCAGTGCTAAATTACGCATAAGAATTTTATAGATTGCAGTTTCCATTGCATTTCTCTCTTCATTCACAAACTTTTATGGGTGTTTTATTGATTGCACCGTCTCCAAAGCCATAAAACTTTATACTGTTGCATACTCAATGCACTCTTGAACAAATTGTTAACTCTATTTATGCGCATTATTTGGTCACACAATTACTTAGTTTACTGTGTATGAATTGCTGTTGAAATATTGAATATTAATTAGAATCACAACGTGAATTCGTTGAATTTTTTCCCCCTTAAAGTCCATCAAAGCTTTCGGTCTCACACCAAATTGTCTGGCTTTAAGTGGGAAATTTAAGGCACTTTGCCATCATGCTTTCGGCGCAAAAACTCCATGTCATGGCGATGGTAAGAGAAGCTTTTGAAGTCTCACATTCACTAATAGAAAAGCTTAATGGCATTTGAGGAGAAATTAATTGAAAATCAATGAACGACGTCTCATCTTCACATCAATATGTATCATCGATATAATTATATTCTACACATAAAATGCTTTATGATTTTTCCTATCGTGCTATTGTAAGAAGAAGACTTTCCATTAGGTTTCGTTAACACTAAATATCTAGTTTACTTAGTTGTCTTGTTGCCAAACTCCTTCGTATACAAAACAGACATTGAAGAAAAGAAATCTTCACAATGTAAAATGATTCAGAACTACTTTTGTAACATTTTGCTTTCACTCAACGCCCACAAAAAAGAGAAAATAGTGGTGAAATCCTTGAGAAAAATCATTGGGAAACATTTCCATGGTTTATTTTATACCCAGCAAATCTATTTTTCCCCTATTCCAAATTTGCTTACACGATAGCACATATTTTCAACGGTTCAGCTATTCTATTTGATAAATAACCTCTCACCACCGACAAGAAAGTTTCCACTGTAAAGGCAAAATAACACCATTATCGGTCCACGAGCCTTCCTTCACGGTGGGTATAATTTTAATAAAAGTTCGTCGTGATTGTAATAGAGATTGCCTCATTCAGTAGATCAACACTCGTGCCATGAGGCGTGGATTTTATATGGGAATCTTGAAAAATACAGACCCAATTTCAATTCATAAACTTCACTTTATGGACTGACACATGGATTGGAAATTCAAATAATATACTCAATTAATACTGTTTTGCTACAGTGAATTCTAATAAATATTATGAAACTCACAGTCACAGCTCATAATGCTATATTGTCTGAAACAAATCTCATACAGCTGAATGTACTAATTAGTGACCTTTCATCTTATGCGAAAAGGTCATGCTTTTAACTTT